ACAACTTTTGTCCCTAATATAAACACAGAATAAATGGTATTGGAGTGCAACCCATGTATATTCATACGTTACGTTATACTGTCTCTTTCACATATTGATATAAAATTCATATTTTATATGAGTATTTATGTATAAGTGTCTTGGATCACGAAGCAAAAGGCCTTACTACCTGAGGATTCTTTTTTTTAAAAAAAGTTCAAAGCTTCTGAGTTAGGATGTTTCATAAGTGTTCTCAAAGTGAATCAATAGATAATTCATGCATGTTTATGGAAGAGATTTACTAGGTGACCATACAGGGTGAGAAGCAGAAGAATTCACACTGACCCTCTGTAAGTTGGAAAATCAGAGGATCAATATCTATTGAACCCAAGAAGATGGAAACCTCAAAACAAGAGGGATCAAGGAGGCAAAACCAGTCAAAAGTCAGCGCCTAGAAGCCCACTGCAGAGTTGCCAATGTAAGTCTGCATTGGAAGGCTGAAGGAACTGGATAGCCATGTCCAAAGGCAATAGCCAAGATTTCAGCTCTTCCAAAATGGGGGCACTTCCTTCTTCTTTCCCCTCTCTGTTCTATCTATCCAGGATGGTTTGACCCCGCTGAGTTTGCTGGCCGACGTGTCAGTTATGAATGGTCACACCTAGAAGTGGGCTTTACTAATCTGCCAGGTAGTTCTTACTCCAGCCAAGATGATCTATCACAATAGTGATCATAGATGTAAACTGGGCTTCTGGAATAGAGGATCCAAAATAAAAATCAATTAAAATTATAGAAGTTTACACCTGTGTTCATAGCAGCACAATTGTCCATAGCTAAAAGGGAGTAGTAACCTAGATGTTCATCGACCATGAAGGAGTAAACAAAGTGTGGACTACACATGGAATATAATCGTGTTCAATCTTAAAAAGGAATAAAATTCTGAGGTGTGCTGTAGCAAGAGCATTAATAAACAAACCACAATGGCATAAATGCTGTACAATTACACTTATATGAATTATTTAGAGTTGTCAAATTCAAGGGAAATGAATGGACAATGGTAGTAGCCATGTGTTGGGAAAGGAGGAAATGAGGCTTCCTTTAATGAATATAGAGTTTCAGTTTTGCAAGATGAGAAATTTTAGAGATGGATTGCACAGTAATATGAATATATTTAAAATTAACCATAAGTTAAAATGAATTACATGGTACATTTTATGTGTATATATTTTACCCAACTAGAAAGATGTAACCCCAGTGAAATTTCTCTTTTAAAAATGGTCAGTAAACAAATGTTACATGTGTATTTCTCTCTTGGGTAAAAGATCTGTAAGCTTTGTGAAGCCCTTAGAATTCCAAAGACCTTTCAACTGTTGCTCTGTTGTATCTAGAATGAGGTCTTTCTTCTGATTCTCTAAAACCCTCTCCAGAAGACTGCCTTTCCACATTAAGAGGCAAGAAGAAAAGGCAGCAAACACCTTTCCTCAGAAGGGCTTGTTCCAAGAATGAGACATCTCTTCTGCTTACGTTCCATCCACCAAAACTTAGTGCTATGGCCACATTTAGTCAGAAGAGAACATGGGAAATGTAGTTTTCAACAGGACAACCAAGTATTCAGCTGAAATCCCTGTTACTGTATAAAGAGAAAAGAACACAGTGGGTGGCAGGGAGCGGTTTCTATTATTTCTTGGACCCTCAAATCAATTCATGTAAATCTCAAAGAATCCCTACAATGAAGGCATATCTATCCTCATTAATGAGACAGGAAAATTGAGACAGAAAGGCCTTCCATAGATTGCAGCAACAATGTTGTGAAGCAAGAGTTGTGTTCACTTTTGACTCATATATCTTTCTGATAATTTAGAGTCTATAGATCTGCTGTGTGTGATAGCTTAATAATGGGATGGTAATCAGAATGGAGGGCCTTGAATGTGATTAGCTCTCCTGAATGGGACCAGGTACTTTAAAAAAATAAGTTTCACCTAAGTGAAATAAATAAGTCCCACATGTGTAAATACCAAATAGTTTCCCTGGTGTGAATATTCTGCAACAATGCATAAGATTCTAATAAGATTACTGACATTTAGAAATGGGAGGAAAGGAGCTAAAGGTGTAGGGAAGGTGTGATACGTAGGGGAAGAACAAAAAGGGAAAAGAAAAAAATGTGAGAGAATGAAAAGATGAAAATAAAGTGTTTGTAGATGGGGAGGGGAGGAGGGGGTGAAGGGAGGGCAGAGGTAAGGGGAAAAAAAAAATCTCAAAGAATCCCTACAATGAAGGCATATCTATCCTCATTAATGAGACAGGAAAATTGAGACAGAAAGGCCTTCCATAGATTGCAGCAACAATGTTGTGAAGCAAGAGTTGTGTTCACTTTTGACTCATATATCTTTCTGATAATTTAGAGTCTATAGATCTGCTGTGTGTGATAGCTTAATAATGGGATGGTAATCAGAATGGGGGGCCTTGAATGTGATTAGCTCTCCTGAATGGGACCAGGTACTTTAAAAAAATAAGTTTCAGAGAGTTGTGTTGCTCCTTGGTGCGTGTCAACACACAGCAAGGAGGTACAGTCCATGAGTGGAGAATGTGGTTCCACCAGGTACCAAGTTTCTTGAAAATTTGATGTTGGAATCTTCAGGATCCAGAACTGAGAAATAAAATTCTGTGGCTTGTAAGCCAGCCATTATAGGGAACTTTATTATACCAGTCTCAATAAGACCTGATCCTATTGTGAACTTAGCTGTTCTCAGCCTGAATATTCTGTTCTCTGGGCCACCCAGGCTAATGGGAATTTAGAGTACTGGCAATTTTCTAAATAAGCCCTAAAATGGGGAAGGTCCATTTTGTTTATTTTCAGAGTGAAGGTAGTTAAAATCCAACAGTGAAGCTCTTATAGAGCATTCCCACATTTATAGAAGAAATCACAAAATTTAAGAAACACTTGACACCCCCTTCTCTTCCAGAAAAAGTGCACGCTGAGATTGACAGAGTGATTGGCCAGGCGCAGCAGCCAAGCTTGGCCAACAGAGAGTCCATGCCCTATACCAATGCTGTTGTCCACGAGGTGCTAAGAATGGGCAACATCGTTCCTCTGAATGCCCCCAGGGAAGTGAGTGTTGATACCACTTTGGGTGGATACCACCTGCCAAAGGTAAGTAGACCTCTTAGGCTTTGCCATCAAGCCTGTCTTTGACTTTGTCCTGGGAAATTATGAAATGTTTTCCAGTCCTACGAAGTCAGTTACATGAGCAGAGTGATACATCATACCTGATTGTCTTAATGTCCAACCTCCACAGCTTAAGAAGAAACTTTATTTCTGCTCAAATTTGTAAAGGTTTCAATCCATGCGTAAATGGCTCCAAGGCAGCGTGGAATGGCAGAGGCAGGTGTAGAGGAGGAGCAGCTCTTGGCAAGGTGGGAAACAGGGAGAAATCAAGGGAGAAGGGAGGGAGGCACACCCATGGAGGTCATGCCCCCACCTCCCCTGAGGAGGCTCTGTAACCTGCCAGAGATATTTTGGAAAATTCTGTGACAAAATCCAGTAATTATAGACTGTTAAATGAGAAAGGGCATTTGAGACACTCAGCTCCCCAATCACACTAGCACTGCTTTTTCTAAAATAATTTCGCTAAAATAAGTTCCCTGCTTGTATTACTTCAGATTCGCTTACAGCCCCATGGTAGGCTGTTGGGTCTAAGAAAGGAAGCCAGTCCCCGCTGTGCAGTACCAATTATTATAAAGGGAGAAAAAAGGACAACTCATATTATACAACAATCCTGTGCATTAGACTATTAGCCTATATCAAAATATCTTTGTTCTCAGTATATGTTTTGTTTCCATTTTATAGACTAAGGTAAGATTCAGGAAAAATGATTTTTCAGATCTCGCAACTAGGGTAGGACAATAGCTGGTATCCAGAACCATATCTACACTGATTATTTTCAATACATAATGCTCCTTCACAGGACTTGCTTTTATCTGACAGTACAATATTCTCCCCTCACTTTTTATCCATTGTCCCCTGTTGAATTTCCTGTCTTCATGAACAGAAGGCATCGCATGCTACCTGCTTTTAAGATCTCCACACTCAGCTCCTCTGTGTCCCTGGAATCTTCTGTTCACAAAGCCCGATTAGGTGTCTCCCTGTGTTCTGTGGCCAACTGTCCCAGCCTGTGAGGGTCTGTTCTAGTTTGTCTCCATTCCTCCGATTAGGCTTTCCTAGGGGACACTCTCCAGTGGTGGAGCCGGGGAGCTTTCCCACTGAACACTGCCGGGTAGGGCCACTGCAGAGCCAGGAAGTCCTCCCCTTCTAACTGAGCATGTCCTGGAGTGATTGAGATGTGAGCACGCCAGGTGCAGTTTGCATTGTTCTAACCATTCATCCACCTCCAGAGCACTAGGCCATCTCACTAGACTGCTTTTACTACTAATTTTTCGCATCAGGTTTAATATCCATCCTGGACAATAAGAAATCTAATGACACCTAGCACAGGAGCCATGGCTTTGACGCCAGACAAACCTAGTGCAGGAAATGGTTCTGTGTCTGCCTGCTCTGTGACTCCAAGGGCATTGTGAAGCCTGTCACAGATACAGTTGCTTTATCTCTAAAATGCAGTTAAACTCATCTTGCAGGCTCTGCATGGAAGTAAGTGAGGTCTTACATGCAGAGCTTCATACTCAAAATAGCAATTATTATTCTTCATTAACCAACAAATACACCATAAGTATGTAAAACATTTGGGTCTCAAAAACAATCCAGAGCAGTATAGGGATGGAAGCACCTTCTTAGAAAGCATGATGAGGGACCAAAGGAAAATCCTCACTTGTTCCACAAAGATGCTCTCAGAATCCTCCAGCTAGAGGGAACATAGGAGCCAGATGACCTGGTGAGGCGAGGCTTTTGAGGAAAGTGAGTTTGGAGCCAATAATGAAAGAATGGCAAGAAGTTAGTTCATGAAAAACAAAAAAACCATAAAAACATTTTTGCATAATGAACAACACGGAAACCTATTCTGGTAGAACAACCAGTGGGAGGTCCCCCCTTAGTAGGAGCCCCAGTGTTACAGATTGTGTGTAGATGTCCCCCAAAGCTTCATGTGGTCACAGATGGTGTTTTGGAGAGGTGGCAGGATCTACGATGTGGGATGCTGGGGTGAAGGCTGCCCCATCATGTGGGATTGTTGCCTGCCCTCATGACGAGCACCTGCACAGAATATAAGAGACAGAGACAATGATGCTGCCATCTCTTAGTGCTGTTTGTCTTTTACTGCCTCCTGCCCACTCTGTGAGGACCCTCTGTCATGCCAACCTGCCTTCCAACCTGTCAAGTGGGGAATGAAACCTCTACAAACTGTGAGCTACAACAAATCTTTTCTCTTTGAACATTGAGTGTCAGGTGTTTTGTCTCAGCAATAACAACAGTGAATAAGACACAGGGCAACACAGGAGGTCGGGCCCTGGTGAATAAGAGGATGGATTTATGACCTGGGAGTGTCAGGAAGCTATTCAAGAGTATCAAGTGAGTACGTGGGCGATGTGACACAGTTAAGTCACGTTCAAATCATGCTCAGCTCTCAGGATGTGGAGCAGATGGAAAGGGCTGGCAGGGGCATGGTAGGAGGCATTACAGGAGTCTGGGAACACAAGGCAGCAATTCAAAGAGGAGCCTTTTGTGGGCACAGAATGGAGGGGACGTAATGAACTGATAGGTAAATCATCCAGCATCATTGGTGGATCCGATGAGGCAGCATGAGGGAAAGGCTCACTGTCTCTCCTTCAGGGTTTCTGGCCCTGTGGCTGGAGGAACAGAGGTTGCTGATCCTGACCAGCTGTTAGTGCTACGAACCCTGCTGTGAGTGGGGAGAGCAGTTGATACTGCAGGGAAGAATAAGAAGAAGCAAAAGAGACTTCATTGCTGTGGTCACTGACATCTGTCTGCAGATTAAACTGATTCAACACTGAAAAATAGTCTAACCTCCTGGAACATTCCTGGCAGGCAGTGACAGTCTATCCTCCTGAGTGGTCCTGTGAACAAGCGTAGGATCCTGGAGACTGAGCTCCAGGGGTGGTGGAACTGAAGGGGTAGAGGAGCTGAGGCCAGCAGCAGTCCGCAGCTCAGGAGCCCAGGCCCCTGTCCCTGTGCCTGAGTGTGTTGCATGGGTCAAGCCTCACCTGACTCTCTGCTCCCTTTTCTAGGGGACCATGGTCATGACCAATTTGACTGCGCTGCACAGGGACCCCACAGAGTGGGCGACTCCAGACACATTCACCCCAGAGCATTTCCTGGAGAATGGACAGTTTAAGAAAAGGGAATCCTTTCTGCCTTTCTCATTGGGTGAGCTCTGATGACAAGGAGTGAGATCGCAGAAGTTCCTCCCTGCAGTCTTCCTCCTCTTCTCTGTAGTCCTTTGCTTTCAATAAGATTCTTCCTCCTGGCTCGGCTCAGCACTACTCCATGTTGCTGGTGGCTGTGGTCCAGTGGACCTGGATTCCTCATTGGCTCAAAAAATCCCTGAGATTCGGCCATGCCCTTTCTTCTGATGGAGTTTTCATCTTTCCTTTGATCTCTTTTACATAGCATTGGGATGAGGGATACAGACCCATAACCTGACTCTTACGCACAAAGAAGGTTTTACATCTGCCATCTTCATAGAGTGGTTAATTGTCACAGATTCTTCTGAACTTCACAAATTCAGCTCACACCAAAATAGAGATGATATTTAAACATGGAGAATGTGAGGTAGCAAGGGAAAGGGGCTACTTACCTTACGGGCATTAGACAGTGATTTAAATACCATCAGCTTACCTAGATTGGGATATGCTTTATAAGAAATTCTTGAAGATGTCTTTTTTGCCTCCATAAATATGAATTACTTTTCAAAACTCAAGCTAGTAAATTTATATTTTATGCGGCTTGAACAGTCAAAAGCTGATTCATTGAAATCTTTCTCTTTGTTTTATTTTCAGTCCAATGGCCTTTTGAAAATCTAACATCATAAAATCAATAGCAAATTATCTTATTGTATACCCTAGTGCAAAGATAGTGAACCTTTTAGAGACAAGTGCCAAAACTTCAACCCAAGACCTAGTGATTTATTGCAAACTGTTAACACTAGAAAAAACAGCTCATACATTCACATCCTTTGTCTTCAAGGGAATACAAATAACATGCAGGCTAGAGATTGTCCACCACTGCCCTCGTGTAAATGGACAAGGTTCAAATTCCCATCAGCATTTTGATACTGGAGGAAAGAGACTTTGTAGCCAGGGTCACTGACATCTGTTTGCACATTAAACTGATTCTACACTGAAAAATAGTCTAACCTCCCTGGAACATTCCCCACAGGCAATGCCAGTCTGGAGATAAGGCAAGAGAGGCATAACCAAACCTGGCAATTATAATCATGATATTGCTGTGGATGGTATGGAGTCAGCGTCAATCAGTTTTATCAAAACCTAAAGTTTGTGTCTTCCTCACGCTGTCTTTTGAAAATAGCAGTGTTCTCCCCACAAACCTGCTGTGGAAAGCATGGGATTTGCTTATAATTAATTTACAGTAAAAGACACATTGACTTTCTAAAGAAGCATCATTTTACTGCTGGTGAAAACGAGGCTCAGAGTGAAACGATCTGGGTGATCCTCCAAGGTTTCTAACCATGTGGAACAGAGGTTGCTGGCCCTGACCACCTGTTAGTGCTACTAACCCTGCTATTGAGTGGGGAGACCACAGTCCATGATTATTCTGTCTGCTGTGCCGCACTGGATGTGTCTGGGCTGATTCTGATTGTATCCCGTCTTCCCACACACCACGTCACCTATGCACACCATAAAAAGTCACTTCTAACATGAAAGCTTGTCTCAGATGTAGGAATGCCTTGCAGGCTTCCTGTTCATAATATTATCATGTTTTGTCTCACCGCACAAAGTTTCAGATGCACACTTCAATTATTATAACCATTCTTGTTCATGGCATTAGATCTGTGAGAAGCTGATGCCGTAGGAATATGGCCCCTTGCTCATTCCACAAAAGTGCTTCACCTTATAATTGCTGCACCTCTGCTGACAGGAATCTACATGGATTCCACACCTTTAAAAGAGGAAAGGATCCCCCTGTAAGCCATGTGATGCCCACCTGCATGTCATTTCTTCACATTTCGAGAGCCTCTTCTGCATAGCTGCCTCATGTGTCACCATGTTCAAAATTTCTTCCGTCTAAATTAGCTATAGCGTGAGGAGGACTTATAGGGATACACTGGTGCTTTGAAATTGGGAACTGTAGTACATTCTTTTGAAAAGAGACTTTGCAAACGGATTATCTCAGGCAGCATTTACCAGTGCATAACCACTAATGATTAAACAGGTAAAGAGGCAAGTGACTATTTGTCATCCTTTTTAAAGCAAATAATACATGCCATGTGATTGGGATCTTTTCCTGGTCACAGCACAAGAGTTGGAGAGAGAGATTTTTGACAAGTGAGAAAGATTTCCTTTTGTGAATAGTCTAATAATCCCAGTCACACAGTGGTCACTGATGAAGAGAGTTCTTTAAACCTGTTTCTGGACTCTGCAGGTCCATTTCTGCAAAATATATTGATTTGTCTAACAGAATCTTGGGACAAGTGGTTTGGTATCCTTTTCACAAGTTGCTCACCCTACATACATGGGATAGGCACAGAATAAAGATAAAAACACTCTTGAATTAGGCGCAGGGCAGTGGAAAACAACAGGGAGAAAGTCACAAAGCAGTGGCATACTTGCCGGTTACACCAGTTACATTTACATTTACTGAGCACTTTTGCATGCATAATCTTAAGCTATTTTTATGACACCATCATCCCATCCCTAACATCCTGGGTTTGTGAGTCTGGGCCCTAGGATGATAGGGTTGAAGGACACTAGGGACTTGTGCTGCTCAGGGTGCTGAAGAAGGGCAGAGTAGGAGCCGATAAGATGCCAAATACACAGCAACGGAAAATGCATGCCAGCTCTCACATGCAACAGGACAATTAACACTCGCCTTGCATTAAACTTTTTCCTTTTTTATGAGCACATATTTTAATACAGACTAATGCGTTTCGTTTTATTTAGCAGGTTTGCACATTCACTTGATACACTTTAATCATTGCCCCCATCACCTCCACTTCTCATCTCTCCCCGTGGACTGAACACTTTTAAATGATCAACATGTTGATGTGCAGAGGTGGGTAGCATTTGATACAGGCGTTGAGACAGCTAAGGGGACAGAGGCAATGTGAACACAGAGATCCTTGGATCCCACTGCAGTCACCTATCAGATATCTGTGAGCTCAATGAAGGGAAAGCGTCTTCAGGAAGAGTGACCTTCAGGTCCCTGGGAAGTAACCTTGGCCACTATCATAACGCTGTACTGTACTGTGTGGCCTCCCAAATCAGTGATTTTTGAGTTCATGTAGAGTAGATGAGATTAGAGGGCTTCTTCAGTTTTTTTCCTGGTTATGATATCTCATTTCATGCAAGTTTCTCTGCTTCTGTGCTTTTATGAGTCCCAAGACAGGTATTTTGAAGCATATGGTACTACAAAGGTTAATTATGATGTACTCAAGGTTCTTTAGTCTTTCCAACCTTCTTTCCAACACTGTCCCACCATGGTGGCCTCCAATACCCTCAACATTGAGTTTCTATCCCTTTTTCCTCAGTTCTCCATGCTCACATTGGAAGCAGAGGCCCTGAACAAGACAGAAAGTGCAAAGAGGAAGGAACGGGCAGCTCCATCTGGAGGGCCGTGCTTGTCAGGGGGTCCCCACAGTGCAGGAGGGTAACAGGCATAGGGAAGTGGCTTGGATGTTAGGAGCCCAGTGGTGTCATTTACTTCTTTATACTTTGCTGTTTCCTTCTAAGGTTGAGGCACATCACATAATTTTGTTGTTGCTTCATTGACTGCTTCGTGGTTGGTTATTAAATGAGTTTTGAAATATTCAGACAAGATACCACTGTCTGAGTCAGCCCAGGCCTCCCCCTTCCATTAATCCGTACTCTGCTTCTTCACCCCACAACTAACCTGTAAATGCATTTGATCTTGTGATCCTGGATTTCCACTTTCCGTCCTTTGGTGAATTCAAGTGGTTGTCAGACACACAGAGAAAGCTGGATGTAAAGCACAAGGTCAGGATTTGTTGGAAGGAGTGGAGAATACCAATTTCTAGATGCAACAGTGCCACCTAGAAATACATAGTTTGTTTTTGTCCCACAGGAAAACGCGCATGCCTTGGAGAACAGCTGGCTAGGTCTGAGCTGTTTATTTTCTTCACTTCCCTTCTGCAAAAATTTACCTTCAAGCCCCCCAAGAATGAAAAGCTGAGCCTGAAGGTTAGGATGAGCCTGACACATGCTCCAGAGAGCTACAACATCTGTGCTATCCCCAGGGCATGATGCCTGAGAAGGGAGTGAAAGCCAAGAAAGAAGAAATGGCAGCTCTCTGAAGCCTCTGGTGCCCACACAGATGTGAGGGGACAGAATGGAGGTGGGGGAGGAAAGAAGCGAGGAATTGGGCTGAGAGGAAATTGGATCACCATCGAGCTCTGCTATTTCCTTCAGAATCAATATAGGGCAATCATGTACGGATGATGTGATTTATTTTTTCATCCTGGAGATGGGAGGAATGGGGATTTTTCTCTCTCTAAATACACTTCTTTGTAAGAATCAAAGGAAATAACAGAATAATGGACTTTAATTGATTTGTAAGCAATAAAGCACATGATAAAATTATAGTTGCACTGATCCTTTTACTTGCCTTCTTTTACAGCCAAGTATCTGCATGTGATGTGTGGCAATTTCTCAGGTTCAAGTTTTACCAAACAGCCAACAAGAGTTAGAAGTGGGACCCGGGGTACGGACACACAGCATGACAAAATGCTCTCCCCTTTGGGAATGCTACTCAGTGCTTGATCTTGTTTCTGCCTCAGAATGCACTTCTGGGAGGGCATCAGGGAAGGTATGTTTCCCTTTATACAGGCAGTGAAAGCACCTGGTGTAAACACAGCTTTTTTTGTGGATATAAGGAAGCACTGCCTTGACCTGTGACCCTGTTCCACGTAGCACAGCTGACCAAGCCCGGGATCCAGGTTTACAGAACAAATGTGGAAACTTGTTTTGTTTTCAGAATGTATTCCTCAGTCTCAAAATGGCACAGCAATGAGTGCCGGCAACTCAGCTTCTCCGGGACAACATGTTTAAATCTGGAAAATAATAGCTCGGACAGGTATCAAATTGTGTGGAGGTTAACAGGGAACCAATAAAGAGCTGATAGAGAAGAAGACATAGGACTGAATGACACAGAAAAATAGATCACACTGCTGAGGAGAGACCATGCAGTGACCCTAACAGTGATTGCCTAGCTGCTAGATGGGAGGCGAAGTGAAATGAACATCATTTTGGTCACAAAGAACCAGAGAACTGCATTGGAACAGAACGAAACATCAGCAGTTGGATCACAAGGAAGACAGGGTTCAATGCTTCCAGAGCGGCCTTATACAGACACCAGTTGACAAGTGACCTCGGTGCAACAGCCACAGCCACAATGGTGGAGAAAGAGGTCAGAGGGCGGCTGCTGTAGGGTGGGTTGAGTGTTTGGTCCTGGCTCTCAGAGCAGCTCCTTGGTGGCTTCACACTGCCAAGCCCCCACGGTGGATGAGGGAAAGACAAGCAGGGGAGACTGCAGGCTCTTGGAGAGTAGATGGGATGGGTCTTAGTTACTTTTCTCATTGCTGAGACAAAATCCTCGACTTCCAAAGTTAATGTGGCAAAGGTTAATTTAGCTAATTTTTCAGAAGTTTCAGTCCAAAATTGGCTGGCTCAACGGCAGGGTGACCCATGGCTGACAGGCAACAGTTGTGATGGCAGAAGACAGCAAAAGCAATAAGGGACCTTAACAGCATCCTTCAGTCTCTTTTATTTCAGACTGCTAAGGGTGAGTAGCACTCATACCCTTAATCCTAGCACCCTTGTGCCTAGCATTGCGAGGTGAATTAATCTTACACTCTAGATTCAGCCACCTGTGAAAAAGCCCCACATAGGACCAAATGAGGCTTTTGGGGGACACCTAACCACAAGCTATAACGTTCTGCCCCTGGTCCACCTCCCAAGACTCGTGGACATGCCTTTAGGCAAAAGGCATTTAGTCCATCTCCAAAAGTTGCCAAAAATCTAACAGTATTCAGCTTTGCTGAAAGTCCAAATCCAAAGTCCTAGCTGCCAGCCCCTGAAGAACTGAAAGCAGGTTAAATACTTCCAATATTCAGTGACACCAGAAAGACCGCATCATTCCGCAAGTTATAAATTGACACAAAGGAATGGGACCAAAGCAAATCTAAAATCCAACAAGTCAAACACTAATTCCCACTACTCCATATCTGCCATGCCTGGCAAACTGTGGCAAGCTGTGAACTCCAAAAGACTTGGGAGGCTCCACTCCTGCAGCACTGTGGGTGGTTGTAGCTCCACGGCTTCTCTATGGAGAAAGTCCAACCAAAGTCCTAGCTGCCAGCCCCTGAAGAACTGAAAGCAGGTTAAATACTTCCAATATTCAGTGACACCAGAAAGACCGCATCATTCCGCAAGTTATAAATTGACACAAAGGAATGGGACCAAAGCAAATCTAAAATCCAACAAGTCAAACACTAATTCCCACTACTCCATATCTGCCATGCCTGGCAAACTGTGGCAAGCTGTGAACTCCAAAAGACTTGGGAGGCTCCACTCCTGCAGCACTGTGGGTGGTTGTAGCTCCACGGCTTCTCTATGGGGCTGGCTCTGCTCACTCCTTGAAGTTTTCTGCAGACAATCCAGATTCTTGGCTTCTCCAAACATCTGTGCTATATACAGTGCCTTCTGCTTCACACTCACAGGTTCACACACTGCCTTCTCAGGGACACACTGCCTGGCCTCCCAGGCCTTCTTCTCAAATCCGAGTAGAAGACTTCCTCTCCCCACAACTCTTGCGTTGTGCGTGCCCCTAAAACTAGCACCACACGGTTGATGTCAAGGTCTGCTGCCAGCTGGGGCAGTAGCCAGGCTTCATTTGTTCTTGGCTGTAATTATCCAGTGCCTACAAACCAGTCTCGAGCTTCCCCAAGCCACTGTCTTTCCAGAACATGATGCTCTCGGAATCTCTTCATAAAGCAAAGTCCTTCACTTTTATAATTTTGAAGCTGCAAAGGGTGGAGTCCTTCTCTTGTGATTCCCTTAGGCCATTTTGCTGTTCTCCTGTTCCTTCTCAGCCTTCAAGGTCTCCTCTGCTCTGTCTTCACCTTCCACAGCACTGCTGGAGCTTCTCTCTTGGCCAAACTCAGAACATTTTGAATCTTTCTGCTGGGCTCTTTGCTCTTGACCCTCAACGTAAACCTGGCTAAGAAATCCATGAGAAGAGCCTCTAATTCAGCCTTTATAAAGGTAATCACCTCCAGCATTATTTTTAATGCAAAAACAATTTAAAAAAGAGAAGGAGGGGGAGAACTAATCTGAATACCTGTTGATACAGGGACAAGCAAATAAACCGAGATACAGTAACACAAGATTACCTTTCAAATCGAATGAATCAGGATAATAATGTGGAATCAGGCAGAAGACAATTTAAACAGCAGTTGAGCTGTAGAGAAATTTTCTACATAAATATTAGAAATAGTGTTCAATTCGGTAACAACTGTATTGAAATAGCAACATACATGGACTGGAAGGACACATGCTGAATCCTGACTCCGCCTTACCCTGGCTTGGAAAAAAATAAAACTCCAATTTTTTTTTTAGGTTTTCCCTTGAAACAATTTTTAAGCAGACTGGGTATGTCTACCTTGAATACACGTGAGTGTGCCGAGGTCTCCCAGAACTGAGCCGCTTCTGTGGAGGACTCAGATGAGGAGAAACAGGGAGGCACCTCAGCCTGGCATGGACTTTGGAGCCTGGACACACAGAAACTTCACAATCAGGCAAAAATAAAGAAATGAATAAAGCCCAGGATAAAGACATTTCTGCCATAAATGTTACCTAACCTCCTATGATGAACCCAGCCCAGTGCTGGGAGTTTTGGTGCCATTCTTTCTCCTCTGCAGAGCGCTCTCAGAGAGAAGGCTTCCTCTGGGAATCTTTCACACTCAGGGATTCCCTTATTCCTGCGCAGTGCATGTTCTCAACCCAAGTCAGGACTGAAATGATCGTCCCTTGCCCAGCTCTGTGAGATGCAGCCTCTCATGTGAGGGCAGAGTGTGCTGCCCGCCTGATGGTAAGTTCCTAAGACAGATCCAGAGCTGCTGCTGCCAGAGAGCCAGCGGGCCTGGTGACAGTGATGGGAAATCGGGCTCCACTGACTATGGCACTCTCAGGCTGAGGGGGCCTGGAAATGAGGAGCCCAGCAGCCTGAGCCCTGGGTGTGTGCCAGAAAATGGATTTTATGATAAAGGAAGAAAGCACTGCTAGCCAGCCTGTTCCAGGAAAGATGTGGGGAGTCCAGGGGTGCAGAGTCTCTATCCCCTGTCCAGGGTGCAGCAGAGGCCTGGCTCATAGAGGGAACAGGAAGGCCAGGGAGGGAGGAACTGCAGGGCAGAGGGCAGAGGGCAGAGAAGTGGTACAATTCGCGGGAGGCCGGGCAGAGCAGATCTGGTGGGCAGGGCAGCCTGGACACCAAGGTAGTTACCTGTGTGGATAGTCCTTTGTGCGGTCCTAAGAAGGCCCAGGGCAAGTCCTCTGCATGCTGGCCACGGTGGGCTCCCTGGTGGCCGCCCTCTGGGGCGCGCTTCACCTCCGCACTCTTCTGCTGGGCGCTGTTGCCTTCCTGTTCTTTGTAGATTTCCTCAAAAGGAGGCGCCCAAAGAACTACCCTCCAGGACCCTGGCGCCTGCCTTTCCTGGGAAACATTTTCCACCTGGATCTTGCAAAGACTCATCTGGAGCTTAAGCAGGTAGGAGTAAGGAGGGAGGCTGGTGGTGTCCTCAGCAGCCCACC